TGGTTCGCAGCCCGCGCTCAATCCACTGAGCTACGCTAGCTAGGGCCTTTTTTTTCTTAAATAAGTTCCTTTAACGTTTCATGTAATAATGGCTTGGTGATGATGAACTCCTTGAGCTTTATCTTGTCTGAGAAGCACTTTATCTGCCCTTCCATTCTAAATGATAACTTTGCTGAGTAGAGCAGTGTAGGTTGTAGGTCCTTGATTTTCATGACTGAATATTTCTTGTCAATCCTTTCTAGCCTGCAGTTTCTTTTGAGACATCAGCTGACAGTCTTATGGGCATTCCTTTGTAGGTAACTCTGCTTTTCTCTTGCTGCTTCGAAGAGTCTCTCTATAACCTTTGGCATTTTAATTATGGTGTGTTCTTCATATGATCCTCTTCGGGTCCAACTTATTGGGGACTCTCTGTGCTTCCTGGACTTGTATGTCTATTTCTTTCACCAAAATTAGGAGTTTTCTTTTGTTATTTTTTTCAAATAAGTTTTCAATTTCTCGCCCTTCCTCTTCTCCTTCTGGCATCCTTATGATTCAGATGTTGGTATGTTTGGAAATGTCCCAGAGGCACCTTTATACTATCCTCATTTTTTTTATTGTTTTTTCTTCTCGCTGTTTTGATTGAATCCATATTTCTTCCTTATGTACCAAAATGTTGATTTGAATTTTTGCTTTATCCCCTTCATTGTTGGTTCTCTGTAAATTTTTCTTTATTTCACTTAGCATAACCTTCATTTCTTCCTGAATCTTTTTTATGCTGTTGCTGTACTCGGTGAGTTCTTTGACCATCCTGATCACCAGTGTTTTGAACTCTGCATCTGATAGGTTGGTTGTCTCTGTTTCATTTAGTTCCTTTTCTGGGGTTTTGTTCTGCTCTTTCATTTGGGCCATGTTTCTTTGTCTCCTCAATTTGGCAGCCTCCTGCGTTTCTTTCTGTGTATTAGGTATAGCTGCTTTGTCTTATTAGCATGGCCTATTGTAGAATAAGCACCTGTAAATTGTGTGGGGTGAAGCCTTAGGCAACGCACTTCACCACTTTGTGGCTCTGTGTTGGGGGAGGGTTTGGAGAAGGGACGGGGCTGCTGCCTGACGTCTGGAGGTTTGCCCAGCACTCGCCCTGTGCAGCTGTCACCCTATTATCTGTTGCATTGGTGGTGATTACCAGAGTGGGTGGGTTTGCATGAATTCTAAGTCCGTTCAGGCCCTTTAAGTGAAGTTTCCTGAAAATCTGGCAAGTTTCTTCCACTGCTCAAACCCTCAGTGGTCTCTACAGCCAGAAGTTAATGGGGATTTAGTTTCCTGGTGGCAGAACCCTGGGCTGTGCAGTCTGGCCGGGGCCCGGAGTCACTTTCTCCCAGGGCATCTCTCCCAATCTTTATCCACACACGTGAATGTGGGACCACCCATTTGCCACTGCTGTCTCTCCATGCCACACCGCGTGTCTGTGCCTCTTTGCCCATCTCTGCATCTCTGCCCCTCCTGTCCATCTAGATGAATGCGGCTTCTTTAAATTTCTGGTTGTTGGACTTCTATACAGCTGATTTCCTGACAGTTCTGGGTGTTATTTATTTTGAGGTCTAATTGTAATTCTTTTCTGTGGTTGCGCAAGAAAGCAAAGTGTGTTTACCAGCGCCTCCATCTTGACCAGCGGTAGCATTATCCTGCCTTTGTTTCTCTTAAATATCTTGTTCAGCTCTCTCTCTGATGATGTCTTCTTTCTCTTTTGCATATCCAAATCTGTCCTCATGCAGCTTTCCCTCAGGCCCTCAATGTATCTCTTCTCTACACTCTTTTACTCAGTACCATGTAATTTAGTACTTAGGTGCCATTTTTTCTCTTTTTCTGTATATATGTTAGTCTTTTCTGTCTACCTAATGATAAGCTCCTTGATTGTACAGATCCTATTTCACATTACTTTCTCTGGCTTTCATAACAGTCAGTGCTTGAGAGAACTACGTGTAGTACCAGGGTCCCTCCTTCCACCCCGAGTCCTCGCGGGCACCTTGCCGAGCTGCCGGGCATGCGCCTCCAGCAGTAGCGTGATGCCCCACTGGTGCACGAGAAGAGCCACGCAAACCCGGGCTGCATTTCTTTCTGCCCTGTAGCTCTCTCCTTCCCACGAAATTATGTTTCCTTCGTCAGGTAAATAAAAACATGTATAGCCGGTTTGTGTGTGTGTATGGTCTTTTTTTGCCAATCCAAACATGTATGTGTATTATACACAGTGTGACACATTGTGTATATTAAAATGAAAAAAACCCTAATAATATAGTAAGTGGAAAAATTTATATTAATACTACACATGTATAGAATCTACGATGATAGACATCCCTCCCTCCAAAACAACCAAACAGTATAAACCACTTCCTCATGTTCCCATAAACTGTATAAAATACAAAGACCATTTGGCTTGTTTAGCTTTGTGAAGTAAGTAAAGGATTTCTTTTATACTTCAAAGTTAGAATAGGGTTAAATGAGAGAATTTATATTTTAAAGGTTTCTTTTACTCCTAAACATTTGTTTTCTCTATTTTATGTATTTTGGAAGACATTTGTGGCATGGGGGTTCATTCTAAAAGAGCCTGCACATCTTTTCCTAATTGGAAAAGTACTCATGGCGATCCCAGGGGCAGGGATGTAGACACAGGGATGTTGGCACGGAGACAGACGGGGGACTGACGGGAAGGAGCAGAGAGCCGCGCACCAGAAGCGCTGGTTTGTCTGGTGACCCCCGTGGAAGGGGCTGGCCCCAAGTCTGTAATCTGTGGGGCTGGTAATGGTGCATGGGCGTTCATCGTACTCTTCTCCGCTTTTGTATGTGTTTGAAACCTTCCACCGTAAAAAGTATTTTAAAGATATAACTTAAAAAATAGAGACACCCTTCACAAAAGTGATAAAATGATCTTTATGGAAAAAGTAAAATTGATTTAGTGACAGTATTTTTAACATAAATGGAAAGAGATACTATTGACATGAAATTTATTTTTAAAAATTAATTCCCGAAATGGATCTTTAGATTCATTCAGTCCTTATTATAACTCTACCGGGAGGATTATTTTTAGACTTTCGATAAGCTAATTTTAAAATTCACATGCAAGTACCAGGGAGCAAGACTAGCCAGGGCAGCCCTGAAAAAGAAGAAACATGCCAGACTTATTACAGAGCTCATTAACGGACTGTTAGTGAGGAACTGGAACAGCGGGCCCGCGGAATCAGACAAAGAGCCGGGACGGGAGCACACGGGAAACTCATGGCTGCGACCGCAGTGCCAGCACGTTGGCCAGAAGGGGGTTTTTAAAAAATCAGATGGACTTTGTTTTTGGTTATATTAAGGAGTTCATTTCAAAGCCAACACTATAGATCTTTAAAAAGACTGTATTAGTGTATGGCTGAATTGCTTAAAAAAGATATTAAAAGCACTACACAGAAAGGTTAAGATTGATATGTTTGATAACTACTGAAAAAAAATCAGTAAAAATGAGACGACAAGTCACAGACTGGGATGAGAAGTGTTCCACGCTGTAATCGATACATACGATTATTGTTCCTTCCTAGAACAAGTGACTTGGGCAATGTAGCTCTCAGAAGATTTGGTTGACTGTTTGTTCGATCCGGGGTAGCTTCCGAGTCCCAACAGCCATTCCCGTGATATTCTGAGACATGTCTGTCTCTCTCTCCTAGACTCTAGTATGAATACCTTGAGCTTATCAGAATTCTACAAGTCAGCAAAATTCTTAAAGTCTTTTCCCTGATCTGTTTTGTCCTGCTGAAAGGATACACTTGGGGCTTCTCTCCTGTGTTTATTCACAGGTTTTCATGAAGAGGTTTTTTGAGGATGAGACACAGTCTTAAGCTAGCATTTTTTCAACTTATATTTTTTACACTTATACATTAGAAACTGTAGTGTAGTTCAAGTTTTGTAATTTGTGGATTTTCTCTTAGCAAAAGTTCATCCCTTTCTCGTATTTTGCTAAGTACGGCTAAGAGCATGCAGTCTCTTGACTTCTTCCTATGAACCCACCAGTTCATAAATCCCATGATCTGCTTCCCGGGTTACTGCCAGCAGACTTAGTCCTGCCGTGTTATGATGCTGTTATGATGCGTGCCATCGTTTTTCCAGTCATCCGTAACTGTTACTTACCACTCACTCTCCATGCCAGTCTCACATGTGTAACGTGTTTGTTATGGCACTAGCCCCTTCCTGGTACCAGGTTCTCTCCTGGCTTTTCCTAAGTAAGGCTGCGGTAAACACTCCAAAATTTTAGCGCCTTACGACAACAGAGATTTCTAGCTCCCGGGTTAGCCTCGAGTTGCATGCCCTTCTGCGGCTCCGTGAAATGTGCCTTGCTCTGTGTTTCAGTCTGAGGAGCAGCCCTGCCTTGGTCTTACTTAGGTCAGAGGGAAAAGTGACAGTGCTGACCCCTGTGATATCTCTTCAGACGCCTCTCAGATATGGTGTAGATAATGTACAAGTATATTTCTTGGGCCAGAGGAAGTTACATGGCCAGTCCCCGTGTCTGCATGGCAGGGAAGTGTCCCTGAGGCACGTACTGCAGCCATCAGGCCCAAGCACAGGCAGCTGTCTCCGGCAGCTGGTCACCTACCGGAAGGGAGAGGGCAGGACAGTTGAGAACGGTACCACCCGCGTGTTCACTTCCAGAGTCCCTAAAGCCGTGTTTTTCAAAGGGCTGAGTTCTTAGCTGAAGATAAACTGTTGGACGCTCTCACTGTCTCGGTGAGTATGAATAAGATCACCCGGGACAGGGAAGCCAGTGCTCGAGGCCTCATGGGAGACGAAGGATGAGCCGTCCGAGGTGGGGGCAGGACAGGAAGGAGGGTGCCCAGGGGTCTTGTTACAGAGCTGTTCTCCAAAAACAACTTCTTTTAAGGAGAGAAAGCCTGAATGCAAACGATTTAACTCTATCCAGTTTGTATCACCACGAGAGTTAGTTTCCAACTAGCGTAAGAGATTTAAAACTAACACATGCGTATTTGTTCTTACAGGGATTTGCCCCAGTACGGGCAGAAGCAGTGGCAGTCCTATTTTGGAAGAACTTTTGACGTTTACACCAAACTCTGGAAGTTCCAGCAGCAGCATCGGTAAAGGGATTGTGTAGTTAAAGGAGAGTGAGGCTCCCTTTTATTTTAGTCACAGTCTTAACCTTTGCTACCTCAGTGCTTTTCATCTCTGGGTGCATCTTAGTATATTTTATCTGCATGACCCAAATGAAAACAAACTGGTTTTTTTCTTGCTTACTTGAGGTTTTGAAATGTAGTGTTCTTATCAGATTTCTAAAGACTATATATAACTGAAATGGTTCAGAGTAAGTCTAACATAGCTTGACTGATTTGTGGTTTCATTCTAAAATAGGTGTTGTTTATTGGCCAAAACAATGTGGGGGTATTTATGCTACTAATATTAGTGAATATAGCTCAGAGAAGTTTCTTTTTATATTTCAACTTACTTTAAATAGACATTTTATAAATGCTTTTTGAATTTAATTGAATGATTTTGTTGAAATCTCATGAAAAATTCATGAATTTAAAATTTCATGCTGAATGGGGTGTTATTTTATCCTATTACGTTTACAGATTTGGTTATTTTTGAAAATTATAGTCTCTTATTTCTATTTTCTTATTTTCTATATAAAACAGACAAGTCTTGGATAATCGGTATGGCTTGAAGCGGTGGCAAATAGGGGAAATTGCTTCTAAGATTGGGCAGCTGTACTACCATTATTAGTAAGTGAATTGCCTGTGGAAAAATCAAGTGTTGTCCTGAGTTACACACAGTATGTGGAAGTATGCATGATATGCTTATTTGTTTGGAGGGAAAACTAAGGACTTACAAAGGAAACCTTAATAATTTGGACCAGATTGTTCAAGACAGCATTATGGAATGACCTTCCGTAATCAAAGTAACATTGTTTGCTTCAAGGGCTCACCTTCCAAACAGTTCGTTTGGTCAGACTCATTTATACCTTCAAGGAGTGTGATCTTCGTACTAGATAAATGAATTGCTAGTTCTTCGTGGCTTCACTTAAACCATGAAGAAACTGTGAGAGAGAGACCATAACCTGTGTGTTTGGATGAGTGGTTTTCGGGAGGGTATTTTACAACTCCTACTTGGAGGATGTGTCTAAAGGGTTGCATGAAGTAGATAAGGATACTTCTGATTATATCCCTGGAGTGACAGCACCTGGGTAGTCCGGTCCCCTCCATGGGCCATGGAGAGAAGAGGGCTCCTTCAGGACTCTAAATCTCATTCTCGTGAAGTAGCGTCAGGGGTACCACGGAAAGGCTCGGACCATTTGTGACCTGAGAGGCCAGAAATCCCTTCCTCTTCCTGCCCTTTGGCACATCTCCCAAAATTCCCACCAGTAAAATCACTCTCTTGGGTAGCATATTTTCTTAAGTAGTCCTTCGTAAACTACAAGCATTGGTTTTTGCTATTTTAATTAATTTATTTTTTAATTTTTCAATTACAGTTTGCCTTTAGTGTTATTTTGTATTGGTTCAGGTGTACAGCACCTGAATAAACCAGGGATAGTGCTTAGATAATTGTATACTTCACAAAGTGTTCCCCAATATTTCCAGCGTCCACCTGGCACCAGACATAGTCCTTATAATATTATCAACCACATTTCCTGTGCCGTACTTTACATCCCTGTGGCTACTCTGTAACTGTCAACTTGCACTTCTTAATCCCTTCACCTCTTTCACCCAGTTCTTTAAACAAAGCGCCTAATTTATCAGCATCCTCTGAAGACTGATATGGATTAGTCCGTTTCTGAATCCTGTGAGAAAAAAATGAAAGAGATGAGTCAAAGGACAAGTGACTGTGGATTTGGGGAGGGTCGTGAAAGGTCTGTCCTAGGCAGACAGTTTTACCTCGGTGGAAGGCTGTTTGGAGAGTCCCCTTGAAGAATGAAAATAATGTTTATTTGGAGTTGCCATCAAAAAAGGCTTGGAAGGAGTGGGGAGGTATTTTTTATTATCACTATTATTATTTTTATATATTTTAAGGGTGATATACATATTGCTTTGCTGATTCAAATTTAGGCCAGTCGTTCCCCTCCCCCCATGTGGAGGAATAGGGGGACAATGGAACAAGCACTGATTGTGGTGAAGAATTGGAGACAGTGTCAAATTGAAAGATTTTTTTTTCTCATAGCTTACGCACATCTGAGACCAGCTATCTGAACGAGGCTTTCTCCTTCTATTCCGCCATCAGACAGAGATCTTATTATTCTCAAGTCAATAAAGAGGACAGGTATGTACCCAGAATGTTTTTAGAGACAAGAAGGAAAAACACTGGACATTTTTAGTTTGTGTACAAATTGTGCAGAAATGCATACACTTGTTTATAACTTTTATTCATTCAGCGGGTCTTACAGAGTGCCTACTATGTGCCAGGCCTCCTGAAGCACACAGAGAGATGCTACCTAATGGCTTTGAACATTGTAGATGTTGTAACAGATGTCACAGTACCAGCGTGCCGTCAAAGCACAAAGGAGGGATAGCTTACTTCTTTATGAGAGCGTGGGGTCACAAAGTGTCATTGGAAAGAAACAACTCCAGCGTGAGCCTTTGCCAATAACCTTGGTTCTTTTTAGCCTGAGTACTCTTACTTCATATACATTCAAAAGCCTGCTGACAGCAGCCATGTAGGACTAAAGAAAAGGCGCTAAGCTGTTGGAAGTTTATTTTGTAAACACAACACTGTTGTGTGGGTGTTAGGGAGAAACATCTGGTGGAATTTATTAATTCCCAACAATAATCTGTTGAACACTTACATGTATAGATGGCTATGTGGTTGGTACTTGGGTGGGAAAAGAAAAAAGAAAAGGTGTGCAAGGGTGCACTGTTTTGTTTTAAATGGTTATCTTCTCATGGGAGTTACAGACGCCTTTGGGGTGCAAGTAGGTGGTGATGTTTTTAATTCCAGATGAGTGTGGAGTTGTGGGAGAAACCAGGGATCTGCTGGAGAACCTTTATTGCTAGCATTCCAAGAACTGTTGGAAGAGAAAGTTCAGGACTAAGCCCTGGCTGGTGTGGCTCAGTGGATTGAGTGCTGGCCTGTGAAGTGAAGGGTCACAGGTTTGATTCCCAGTCAGGGCACATGCCTGGGTTGTGGGCCAGGTTCCCAGTTGGGGGCGTGTGAGAAGCAACCATACATTGATGTTTCTCCCCCTCTCTTTCTCCCTCCCTTCCCTTCTCTCTAAAAGTAAATAAAAAATAAAGTTTATTTAAAAAAAGAAAAAGTTCAGGACTAGAAGATGTGAACATTCTCTCTACCATTGACTCACAGAACTCTCGGTTGTTCTATAGTGAAAATAATATATTCTCTTAGCACTAGAAGAAAACATAGTTTTGACATGTTTTTCTGGAGAACACTTTGTGCTTGACTGTCATAGGCTTTCCCACTCTATGGCAACGTTTTTTGGAAAGCCCCGCTGTTGTAAATCCCCTTCGTGCCCTTGCAAGTCTTGTTCAGACTTGTCTGGAGTTTGTTGGGTACAAGTGAGGTTCGTAGAGGCTGAAGTCTTTGTGTCGTTGCCTCACTCATTCTTCCATCTAGACGCCCATCCATTACTCTTCCTTCAGATTAAATGATTTGCTCTGCGTATATTCACTACAGATGTATTTCCTCCAGCCCTCCCTTTGTTGCATTTATGTCGTACAATTTGTCTGAATTCTTGGTGAGATGAATTTATCTCTAAGAATGTGCAAAAGGGCTCTGTAATATTTTATCAGCAAGGAACTATTTTAAGCAATAGTAAAGTACCCTGTGTAATTCACTTTTCTAATTTGTCAAAAGGAAAATTGGCCATAAGCCCCTTGGCTTAAAACCCATCAGTTTGATTCATGGAAATCCTTTGCTATCCTAACGGCGAACACCGCTCCTTAATTGTTCTCCTGTGCTGCCTCCTAGAGCAGGGCAGATGAACAGAGGTGGTGTTGTTGGGAACTGTGGGATCAAAATCCCTTGTCTTAAAGGCACTGAATTGGAATCAGAGGACCATCATAAATCTGGACCTTGTTCTCTGGGGGGACTCTGTCCAGATGGCATGTTGTTTGTGCCTTAGTGTGTGCAGGCAGGGCAAGGTGACCAGTCCAGGTAGCAGTCCAAGACAGCCCCTGTAATCAACAGCCACTAGATTCGAACTAAGAAGGAGAGCATTCCACAATATCACAGTTGCTTTCACAGGCAAAAATCTCTCCTCAAAGGGATGAGTTCTCTGCACTGTCCCAGTGCCTAGGATTATGTCAGTGCCGGGAGGAAGGGTTCGTTCTAGCAATCACCACAGTAACTGCCTGTCACTAAGCAGTCAGCCGGCACACTGTCACTCCCCAGGCCCATCCTGTGTAGTACAGGGAGATGTTACCCCCTGATCAGTCGTCCTAGGAGCTGCAAGCCCCGACTGTGGCGACGGCAGCGGCGGACCCTGACCAGACTTAGACTCGGAGAAGATAAAGTGCCCGAGTACACGGAGGTTGGGGGTGGTGTTGCATTGAGTCATCTGGAAAACAGTTTCCCTGCAAATATGTCAAGATCCGGTGTCTTACAAGCGGAGGGCCTGGCAGGTTGGACGGGCCGCAGTTACGGAAGCCGCTAGAACTTTGTCAAAAGATCATGATGTCAGCTTCAGTGTTGAGAGTATTGGAGTTTTCTGCAGTGGGAAATGTGAATCTGAACTTGAAGGCCTGGGCATTTTCTAGTGACGTTGGCAAGGAGGACTTGGTGGACCTTTCCTCCCGCAGCTCGGTGGGGAGCCCGGCAGTGGGCTGTGGGCTGCGGGTTCGGGATTTCCCCCTGGGTTGGGGTAGCCTCTGCTGTGTGGGTGGGCCGCACTGACTCCTTTCATCTGCGCGTTGCTGTCGTCCAACACGTGGTTTCCAAAACAGAGCGCGTCCACCACTACTGTACGTTCATTTAGTGCAGAGCCAGCAGACTAGGGTCTGGTTTTGTACTGTCTAGTAGCTCAGATGAGTTTTTACCTTTTTAAAGGGGTTGTGAGAAAAGAAAAGATAAATATGCTGCAGACACCATCTGTGGCCTGCAAAGCCAAAAATATTTACTGTCTGGCCACTTAGTGTTTGTCAATCTGCGGTTCAAGATCTGTTCGTGTAATCTGTTACATAGTTGTATAAACTGTGATATGGCTTCATAGAACCTATTTTATTCTATCAGATGTTAAAAATTTGCCATGTTAACATTTCAAGTGTGAATTGACATCCTGCTCCTGCAATTTTTCTTCTGTTTTGAATTCCATTTCCGACAATGAAGTAGGATAGAGACTCTAAAATACTCTCTCCAAAACACCTAGCAATGCAGGATAAAGAGAGCAGTCATCTCTTCTTTAAATGGACAGCTTAGCTTCAAGAAAGTAAGGGAGATCCCCCGGTCATTAGCACTGTGACCAGTGCTGCAGCAACCTGGGGAGGGGGGGAGGTGGCAGAAAAGAACTACTAAGGATTTCTTCAGGGACAGGAAAATTGAAATTAGAAAGAAGGGGTGATGTATAAGGATCAGTGAGAAAAAAATTTCCCCTTGTTTCCTAAAAAACACCGGCCTCATAAGACAGTAATCATTGCAATAATGGCTAGTTGATGTTATTAAGAAAATGGGGCTGCGCCCTGGCTGGCGTAGCTCAGTGGACTGAGCGCGGGCTGGGAACCAAAGTGTCCCAGGTTCGATTCCCAGCCAGGGTACATGCCTGGGTTGCAGGCCATAACCCCCAGCAACCGCACATTGATGTTTCTCTCTCTCTCTCTCTCTCTCCCCCCCTCCCTTCCCTCTCTAAAAAATAAATAAATAAAATCTTTAAAAAAGAAAAAAGAAAATGGGACTCCCCCAACCCGCGTGGCTCAGTTGGTTGGGTGTTGTCCCACAAAGCAAAACGTTGCCAGTTTAATTCCTCTTCAGGGCACAGGCCTGGGTTGTGGGTTTGGTCCCTAGTCAGGGCACGTATGAGAGAAGACCCATCAATGTTTCTCTCCCTTTTCCCCTCTCTTCTCCTCTCTATAAAAATAAATAAATAAAATCTTTTTAAAAATGGATCCAAATCCTGGAGAACTATAACATGAAAGAAGAAAGGAAATAAAGAATTAAACCATACTAGTAAGATCCATTTATTGTTCAGAAGAAACTTAGAGTAAAAGTTGCTTGTTAAATATTAAGAAAAATATTTTTAAAGAACCTAAGGAGAATGCATAATTTCAAAACAGGTAGAAGGGTAAGCAAAGTGAGTAATGCAATTATGATTATTATAACAAAAGGTAGCAGAGGAGTATATATTAAAAATATATAATTAGCACAAAATAATAAAGTAGAACTAAGTCCAAGTCATTGGTAATCATAGTAAATGAAAGCGATCTAAACTTCCTAGGTAAAAGGCAGAGGTTATCAGGATGCCTTTTTAAGAAAAAGCCAGTCATATACTCTTTACAAGAGATCCTCCAAAGAGATAAGTTACATAGAATGCTGCTGCGTTTATGTGTGCATTATTTATATTTAAGGCAGAAAAATATTAAGTATAGAGGCTTATCTCAATGATAAAAGGAACAACTCGGGAAAATATAAAAATTCTTAACATGTATATGCCCAATAGTGTAGCATTATAGTAAACTAAGCAAAAAGTGGCAAATTTTCAGGGAGAACTTGATAAATGGTCTAATATTCATGGAGATATTAAATATACCATATTTAGTGATTTATATATCAAGAAGACCAAAAATTATACGATTTGAATAACACAATTAAAAGTTGTATTTAAAATTGCATACAATAAGCACATGCACATAATATTCAAGCTTATATGAAACTTTTGTATGAAATTGACTTATACGTGCCTCAAAATAGGTTTTTAAAAAAATCTTTTTAAATTTTAATTGTTGTTCAAGTAGTTTTCTGTCTTTTACTCCCATCCCAGCCCACTTCCCCAGCCCACCCATCTCCCTCCCATTTCCACCCCCACCCTAGTTTTTGTCCATGTGTCCTTTATATTTGTTCCTGTAAACCCTTCTCCTTTTCCCCTGAAATTCCCTCCCCTCTCCCCTCTGGTCACTGTCAGCCTGTTCTCTATCAAAATAGCTTTTTCAAGTATATGTTGTCTAACTATGGTGCAAATCCATTAAAAATTAAGAATGAAAACATAGTTTTTAAAAATCAACAATTGGTCAATTAGTAGACACATTTCTAAATAACTCATGGGTGGGTCAAAGAGCAATTTTTGTTTTATTATGGAAAATGTCAAACATATACGAAAATAAACCGTTGTAAGGTGATTATATTTGTAATGTAGGGTGTGGAAAGCAGGAAGCGGAAATCGGGAGTGTGGGGTCTGAACTGATAAGGGATGACTATAAAGCGTCAGATGTAAAGAGGTGCCATATGGACTGTAAAGAGCCTTTGCAGAGTTGGGGGTGCAGTTGCTACTTCGGGCCACACTGAAAGAACAGCAATGAGGAGGGATAAATAAGAAGCCAATGGAGGATATGAAAAGGTACACTGAAATACATTAGAGAGACTGGAAAGAAAGCAAGAGGGAACGGTAGAGGAACACAGACACAGAAGGGGCAGGTCGGAAACAAGTACAGCAAGGCGGACACACAAAGCCAGAGGACCTGAGTGCACGAGGCAGGGATCATCCCAGTGGCTCAAAAAGCAAGGCCTACCCATATGCTATCTACAAAAGAGGCGCTAAAATAAAAGGACACGGGTGCTTGGAAGCAGAGGGACAGAAAAAAAGATATGACATATAAACACTAAACACAAGAAAGCCGGCTTGGTAATATTAATATCAGAAAAATAAGATTTTAAAACAAAGAATGTTCTTCCTGGAATGCTTTTCACCTCGTGTCTTTCTGCCTCTTGTCTTCTACTCATCCTTATACGGAGCCTTAACTTAAACGTTACTCTTTCGAGGAAGTCTGCCGTCATTCAAGATGCAGCCTTGTGGGATCAACTAGCACCTGCACCCTTGATTTCTCCTGTCATTGTACTCATTCCACTGTGTTTTAAGAATTTATCTGTCCTCTATATTTTAAACACTTTTTTGTCTGTAACATCTGTGAAGAAGGAATGGTGCTTGTAGTTCTGGGGTTTTGTTTTTCTTTTTACTCCCAGCAGTTAGCATAGTACCAGATGCATCTAAGTTCTCGATACTGCAGATATTTGTTTAATGAATGAATTACGTGATGAGTCGTAAGAAATGTGTTCAGAGTACAGGTTATATGCAAAACATTTATAACTGCAGAATAGGGTCAAGAGTTTAAAAGCTATAAGAAAGTTGGAAGAAATCAAAAAGCATATGTCCTTTTTTGATCTAATGAGTAATTTTCCATTTGTCTACTGTAGACCCGAATTGGTAGTTAAGAAGCTACGATACTATGCAAGATTTATAGTAGTTTGTCTTCTTCTCAACAAAATGGATGTTGTGAAGGATCTCGTGAAGGTAAATGTACTTTAAAATAATTAAATACCTAACTATACACGGATAATTTTGTTTACAAATAGATTTAAGGTTAAAATAATTTTTGATACATCTAAATCATTCCAGCATTCAAAGTATGGTAACCCCTGACAAGGGTAATGATAAAAAAATTTGTTTCGACTCTCTTCATACTTCAAACACATACTGACCAGAGATGATTATCTTCATTCCTTGCTCGTACCCCATCAGCCTGTTGTACATTTCACCACCCATCCGTGCGTGGCTGGGAAATGCAAACGGAAGTTAAAATACTTAGTTGAAGAGAAAATAACTGAAGTGTTAGGTCATAACAATCTACAGTACATAATATTTTGCAAAGGTATTGTGAATGAGTTTTGGTTTTTTCATCCCGTTAGTATGTCTGCATCACTGTGTCCTTCATTAACTGAGACACTTGGGACTCACTCACCGTCTGTCACGATCGCAGACTGCATTCTGGCTGCACCCTGCATCCAGATAGCGGTTTCCGCGGCACCCTTCTTAATTTTGGGGACGCAAGTATCCCGTGCTGGTTTTGACAAGTCCTCCTCTGCCTTTCTCCACTCCTAGTTACTATTGACAATTTCCAGACAAAACCAGTGTGATATAAAAGCCAAAGAGAATCAGCTAGACATTATTACTTTTTTGCATGTTAAAAATGTGGGGTTTTACCTTTAAGGGTTTTCTATTAATAAAGCAATTGCTGATGTGGCGCCGAGTGGGTATGGGTCGTGCGGGATCTCTCTGAAGATCTCATTGATGTGGATCATTCTGGAGTTTTTGAGCCTGAGATAAATCCAGGTAGTTTTCATTCTTTCTTTTTGGTTGTCATTGGGACTGCATTAGATAATAATCAAACTTCTTTCCTATGTCAGTTCTGTCAGGAATATGGTACCTTATAGCTTTTCTTTTCTTTTTTTTTTTTTTTTTTGTATAACCATTTTCTTCGTGATATTTTTAAATCAGGAATTGTCTGATGAAATTGAAGATTATACTCACCGCTTTAATACTGAAGATCAAGTGGAGTGGAACCTGGTGCTTCAGGAAGTCGCAGCTTTCATTGAGGTCAGTTTTTGACAAAAGGTTGTCATAGTTAATGGATAAGTAAATTCTTGTGTGGTATGCATTTTGACTGTGTGCATATCAAGAAGGAATAACTTCTTATACTGACATTTTGTCTTGGCTGTCAACTACTGACTGCTTTTCTCTCCAGGCGGACCCCGTAATGGTCCTGAATGATGACAATACCATTGTTATCACATCCAACCGCCTCGCTGAGACAGGAGCCCCTTTGCTGGAACAGGGCATGATTGTGGGACAGCTGTCTCTGGCTGACGCACTCATTATTGGTAATTGTAATAACCAGGTAAAGAATTGGGAAGGAACTAAGCTGCAAGTCCACTTTGAAAAATAGTGCTTTTGCTATATTACAGGATTTTTATTTCTTTGTAAATGTCCTAACATCCATTTGTGAGGAAATGTTAATTATGCTGTATCCGTCTATGGACTATATTACAGACATTTAAATCATTTACAAAGAATTTTTAATCACAAAGGAAGATACTCATGATATGGTAAGTGAAAATAAACTGGTTGTGGAGCTCTGTAAACAGAATTATTTCATGTGTTAAAATGTACACACACACACACACACACACAAGAAAAGACCAAGAAGAAATTTACCAATATCATAAAACATTTATCTCTGAGTAGCAGAATTATAGGTAGTTTTCATTTTCTTCTTTACAACTTTCTAAGTCTGCTTATCATTATTTATAATCCACAAAAAGGGGAGGTGGGGTTCTTTTTAAGTACCTTTGTCAAAAGCAAATTTCAGATATGCTTTTCACGACAGAACAGTCCCATGATGGTGATTTAATGTCCTAGAAATGTAATTTACTAGAAATTATGAGATATTGGAAAAGTTACCAGCGAATACATTTTTCTACATGCATTATTTATACAAGTTTTAATTTTGAAGCCTTCCTTACACTTACGATTTTTGTTATTAACTTTTTCTAGTGCTTTTCCAACTTTGGCTTTTATTACCATTAATTCACAGGTTTCTAAATTAAAACATTTTAATTTAAATGCAATGTTGCCTACCCGGAGTTCTATAGAAGTATTATTCAGAATGGAAAAGGATGCGGTCTTACACGTTGTGTAGTACCAAAGCATAGTGAGGAGGTTATAAAACGTGCGCCACAGCCGTATTGTAGCCTCGGTGTGTTGCCAAAAGTTAGCATGTCTTATGGGACCTCTGTAGGTCTCTGTGTTTACATGTTGACTTTGATTTGTTTCTTTTTTCTTTAAGCTTTTATCTATTTAGTTTTAGAGAGAGGGGGAGGGAGGGAGAAAGACAGGGCAAGAAATATCAATGTGTGGTTGCCTTTCATGCGCCTCCACAACTGGGGACCTGGCCCACAGCCCAGGCATGTGCCCTGACTGGGAATCAAACTGGTGACCCTTTGGTTCTCAGGTCAGCGCTCAGTCCACTGAGCCATACCAGCCAGGGCTGATTTGTTTCTAAAAATACCTGAGGAAATTGATGGATTGATGGGAGAATGGATAGATGGAGAGATATATGATAAAACAAAAATAGAAAATGTTAATGTTGTAGGATCTAGATGATAAGCTTATGGATGTCACTGTGTAATTCTTTCAGTCTTCTGTCTGTTGAAATTTTTTATGATAAAATATTGGAAAAAGACCCAATGTCATTAAGTACACATGAATGTTAAAGAGTACTAATCTGATTAAGGCTTCAAGGTCTGCGTTGCATTAATAGTCAGGTTTGTTGGCCTTGCAGGTTAAGTTCAGTGAACTAACTGTTGACATGTTCCGGATGTTGCAAGCCCTGGAAAGGGAGCCGATGAATTTAGCCTCCCAGATGAATAAGCCAGGAATGCAGGTACCTCCTCCCTACTTTTGCAGTTTTGGTAACACTCCTGCTGCTTCTACTCCCCACGGAATGCTGTTATCCAACACATGGTGTAAGCGCGAATCAAGAACTCTCTTGATGAAACGCAGGAAATATAGATAAGCATAATAATAGTAACAAAAGCTATTTGGTGAAGAGGATAGTAAAAATAGACATTGATAATCCATCTGTCAAGTAGAGCTTGTCTGTGTGTTGTTTTCTGTGTGTAAATACAGGAATCAGCCGACAAGCCTACCAGGCGAGAAAACCCCCACAAGTACCTGCTCTACAAACCCACCTTCAGCCAACTGTACACATTCTTAGCAGCATCTTTTAAGGTATATATGATCCAGCGTATTTTACTATATGGGGAAAGTGTGCCCTGAATGGAATCTGAGAGTCCCTCTTCTCTTGGAATATTTGAGTCAAGAGTTTAGGTAAAGGAAGAAATCGAAACTGCCTTTGGAATATCCTAATCATAGCTGTGTTCAGAATGGAAATTGCTTATGGTGCTCTGAATGTTCCTTACCATTAATTAATGAGACTATTGCTTAATTATTCTCCTCTGTCCAGGTTTTTATCACTAAACTACTTTAGGCCTAAGAGTCAGTGCAGGACTGAAAAAACAGGAGCAGGGCGCGTAGGCCTGCTACGTATTCAGGCAGCTCAGGGAGACACTTCGGTCACTGAAAGAGCTACGGGGAGTAAGCAGGGAGTCCCCCAAAGTCCAGCAGAGAAAGCCGTAGTGGGGGTTTGTCTTTCCCAGCTACAGTCAGGATCTCTCCTTCTCCATTTCAAGTTTTCCAGCGAACGTTTTCTAAACGACGGGCGTTTTGAAGCACAGAATGTCTTCAAAATTTTGGCAGTAGTTGTAGATTGTAGGTTAATAAAGAATCTTTGCCGTGTAGACAGAAGTTGGAACCGGTACGACTGACTCTTCTCTTGGAGAGGACAGTAGGTCAGATTAGGTTCTTTCTGGCCCCCACACCTTTAAAGTGTCATGAGCTTTAAATAAAGCTGTTGTTTTCCCTGTTTGTTTTGTATATGTGATTTTTTTAAATTTCAGGAGCTGCCTGCCAATAGTGTGCTCCTGATCTACCTGTCAGCCACCGGCGTCTTCCCCACAGGTCGTTCTGATAGTGAAGGTACAATAAAGGAATGCTCCTGTTGTGAGCAGGACTTGAATTCTCTGTATTTTCTACAAGACGGTGGCCCACAGCCCGCAGACCCTCTCCAGCGTTCTGGGGAGGCGTCCAAATTGGGAACCTGGTCTATTCGTGGAATTGTCAGTCTTACAGATACCCCAGTCTGTTTTATTTGCTGAGATAGTATACATTGAAGTCCACAAATCGTCAGCAAATTCACATACTAACTGTGCGTCTCACTGTCACATTTACCAGAAGCACACGTGTGTGTGAAATGACCAAGCCTGGTAATGATCAACCTCACATCGTTGAATGTTTCTGAGCTTTTAGTGGCTTCATCGTGGCCGAACGTCTTTGTAGAAATCAGTACACTTTTGTAACTGTGAAAGTTCAAGTCCTTGTCATGATTTTGTTTTCCGTCCTTTCTTTGGTTTTTATGGATTCAACATGTAGAATAGTGGGATGCTGTTTCAGAATAAAAACTTAAAACTGTCCAGAATATGTGAGTCCAGAACATATAAAACTGGTCAGAATAGGTGAGTAACTGGCATGTAAATGAGGCATTTAAGTCTCTGTCTGGACATACACAAAAATACTTTTTTAACATCCTTAACATGTTCCTCCTCATCTGTTTGTGAAACTTGCATTCCTTTATACAGTGCATGTCCCTCCCATCTTCCTGCATGACCTACAGATCCTCTTAAAGTGATAAATGGAAACAAACCAAAATAAACCTCAAGTCTTTTCACTGCAGTGATTTTCGAAGGGATAAAATATAACAGCATTAAAAGTGATTTGAAGTCATAAACTAATCTTTTGTAGCGAAGTTAGTAATTTTATTTATAAGCAATTATTTCTATCTCTTAGCTACTGTTGAACCAGATTTTCTGGGCCCTTGCTTAATACACTGACCTCTTGTGTTACTTTTTCAAACTGTAATAGCTCTACAGTCGGTAACTACCTGACTAGTCCTTGGAGACAGATTCTCCCGAACACCCCTCAGTTGCTGTTCCGTTCAGATGAAAGTGTAACTGACTAATATGACTAGTGGCTAACTTCAAAACTGGAACTCCAGCAGTTGGTATAATAGTGACAATGGATTTTTTTCACATGCTACAATTTGGCAGTTCTTTTTTTAAAATTTTATTTATTTATCTTTAGAGAGAGGGGAGGGGAAGGAGAAAGAGAGGGAGAGAAACAGCGATGTGAGAGGGAAACAACCAGTTGCCTCTCACACACGCCCTGACCAGGGACCAAACCCGCGTTCCAGGCAGGTGTCCTGACGGGGGATTGAACCGGTGACCTTCTGCTTTGGGGAATAACACCCTCCCAACTGAGCCACACCGATCAGGGCAGCCATTCTTAATAAGTGACGATTTTGTCAGTGAGAATTTTCAAGTTTTCCAGACTTTTCCTAAATTTTTATTCCAGAATTTTCCTAAATTTTACAATTAATGGCTTGCTTAAAATTATACTTAAGAAATTATTTGGACTTCAGTCTGCAATTTCTTACTTAAATAATTTTGTCAAACCTGAGATTTTAATTTTGCTTGAGACGCAAAGCTCATTTTGAGCATCCCAGATCTCCATCCCTTTTATTTCCCCGAATAAAGGGATGCCTCGGATTCTTGTTTTGTTTCTCATTAGATTGTGTTGGAAAAACTGATGAATAATTAAGTGAATTTTTAAAAATGTTGAAATAAGCAACATGCTGAAATCATTTAAATGCTGCATTAAATGAGAAATTTTTAAATAATTAAAATGTTTTGTAATTCCCTTCTACTTGTGTCAGCGAGAGATTTACAATGTTACTCTCCAATTGAAGTCTAGGATTCTTCCCTTTGTTTTCATAGGTCCCTATGATTTTGGAGGGGTACTTACTAATAGTAACCGGGATATTATAAATGGAGATGCCATTCACAAACGAAATCAGTCCCACAAAGAAATGCACTGGTATGTATTCTAGTGTCTCTCCCTACTATGAAAATTATAGTTCTCTCTTATGAAATATAAAGTGAAATAGGGGCTTTTTCTAGTGCTAGAAACACTCTCCTAGGCTGCTATTAATTACACTTACTTGGCTCCAGCAGTACTTCCATCTCTGACTATCTTAGGAAATTAGAATTTTGAGCTAATATATATATATTTTTATTTTCATTGAATATCAGTTATATGTCAGACACTATTCAATTACCAGATATATGTCAATGAACAAAATTACATTTAAGTTGGAGGAGACTATAAATGTATACATACATAAATAATGTATCAGGACATGATACATGTTAACATCAATACAAACTTTTTAGTGTAAGCTTCTGTTGGTTTGATATACCACAGATGAACTTAGTTATGCTTTCAAGTAGAATGCACCTATGAAAGTTGCTTTTTTTCTAGGTCCGACACATCCACTGGGTGAGCCATTATTGGCCCTACAATTTCTCTATTCAAAAGAGAGCGATCTGGTCATTAAGGAACTGGACTTGTTTGAAACCGCATTTCTGATAGCACGTTACATGAAAATGTTAACTGTTCATGTTGGAGAATGGGGGGGGCAGAGAGGGAGGTGTTTCGCACTGCGTGTGTAACAGCTGACCGTCCTCCAGCCCTGACCTTAGCTGCAAATGACTTATGTTAGAAAAGCTTGTATATAAGATGATGGTATTGCTCATTGACATACTGCTTTATATGTTTATATTTACATCGGTCTTTACACATACACACACATTGCCCACTAAGCTGGAAAGAGCATGCACACCAAAATTGTGACCTGCTTGGCATATGGGGATGATGCTCTGACCCACTGAGCTACCCGGCCAGGGCCGTGACCTTTAGCAATGGCTCTCAAATACATGCTGCTGGACGCTTAGCCTTAGGGTCCAGTAGGTCTTCTGTGGGCCGGGGAGTCTATATGTTTGAGAAATACCCAGCTGATTCTGATAAAATGTCCAGAGAAAGCAAAGACCAGTAAAAAAGGGAAGCCCTATTATTGTCTGCAATAGAAAGATATAACATGAAATACTAAAAAAATCTTTAAAACAGGTATAGATTTTGAAAGACTCATCGAAGTACAAATCTGGTTGTGTTACCACATCTTTGTTTTCAAAGGGGCTTTTAAATACTAAGCAAGGGCCGAAATGCTCGCTTTGGAGATCTGCACGTTGTGTGTTTAGCCCGTCTTTGCATATATGATAGCCTTCTCTCCAGCCTGGATATTCTTGAGTAATAATTATCTCTGAAGTTTTTTCCCAATAACACTTAATACAGGCAGTCTTTCTCTTTTGCTTAATGAATCTTTGTTTTTCTCTCAGTGCTACCATGAAAAGGAGACGTGAGAAAACCAAACCGAAGAAGAAAGATTCCCAGACTTGGCGGTATAGTTACTCAGTCACTCACTGTTGTTGTTGTTTCCCAGCCTCCACCCTGGAGACCTCTATCCCTTCACGAGGAAGCCGCTGTTCATCATCGTGGACTCGTCCAACAGCGTCGCCTATAAGGTGAGTTCCCTGCGTGCCGTGGCACGTGTGAGACGTGGTGGCTCCACTCCAGGTGGCTGATCTTGACATGTGCCTTTTTATTTTGCTTCATTTTATTTTGCTTCATTTTATTTCATTTTACACAGTTTGTATTTAGTCTTTCTTTTCTTTTGAGGTTGTGCATGCTAGTCAGGATCTGGTGCTATGAATAGAAACAAGAAGAAAACGCATGAATGGACACTCAGTGGAAAATAATAAATCCTCCTGCAGGGGAAAAAAAAATCAAGATTTCCAAGATCTCTGGTAGAAGGTTCTTTCTGTTATATAACCCAGAATTCCCTTTTATAGAGGTAGAAGCAAATGAGCACATTGTATTCTCTAGTTTCCAGACTTTTGCCCCATCTACACACCGAGCTGCTGAGGTTTAACTGAAATTTATATCCCATGTTTGACAGTTACAGTCACCGACTATCAACACGAATTGTTTTAAATGCATTTATTTTAAAAACTTGTGACAATAAGTAAAAAGTGATGGCCCTGAATTCTGAAATAAGTAACAGGGATCTAACTTGAAAGTCCTTTGTTTTATATTTTACTTTTGAAGCAGTGTTTTTTGATGATTGTATAAAGGATGTCAGCAGCTAAACACTTTAAAGTAGGATATTCGAGTTCACATTACAGTAATTTACAGGAAAATGAAAACAGAACTTTTGGAGTCCTTTGTATGTGGTCGGAATATTTCATTAGTGAACAGTACATTCAGAAATATGCTGGGATCGGCACATTAAAACTGCCAATTAAAGTTATTTTTGTTGTGGGTGTTCATGTAATTAGTGGAGAAGCAAACATTAGTAGGTTTATTTCAGGAGAGCAATGGAAATGTCATGTAGCTCTGAGAGCTGACCCCAAGCATATGTTTTCCATCTAATTTTCTTGTTTAGTTTCACTTTTTAAAGTCGGAATTCCAAGAGCCTCCAACCTACCCTGAACTTGTCAGCAAATTTCCTGCTACCTGTTTTATCAAGTTTAACAGTACAACTTTGATGTTGGAGAGCATTAGCTGTATACTTTCTTAAATCATGTGTGTGGTGGTGGTTTTCATCTTTCTGAGGAGGTGCAAGGCTGCTGAAGGAGAAAATTTATTAGTTTTCCCATTAAAACTCACAAAACCAGAGGAGTCCAGGCATTTGTCTTCACAGAATTCAAAAGCAGCATTCCGCATCTTTGTCAGTGAAGGAGAAGGGATCGTTTGCTGTGGTTTAAGGGTGTGGCAGCATTTGCTGACACAGCAGGTCAAGTGTATTGCTTCTATGCTCCAGCGTGCATTGGGAGTACTTCAGCAATCTAGTAATTTCTCTCACTTTAATTGGATGTTATTCAATGGTACTTTTTTATAATCTCAAAAATACCTTTCATTACCTGTGCCTGCTATTTCCAGAGTGTGTTTTGAATGTAGAATGAGTGAGTATTGGATGCTGATTTTAAAAAAAACACCACTGTGCCCACTTGGAAGTGTATTTACTTAATTAGGTACCATGATTGAATTTTAGATTTTTAATATTCCTTTTTTAAAGATTTTTTAAAAATGTATTTTATTGATTATGCTGTTACAGTTGTCCCATTTTTCCTCCCTTTTATTCCCCACTGCCCTGTAACCCCTCTTCCCACCACCATTCTAGATTTTAATACTCTGACGGGATAGCAGTTGAATAACAGAAAGTTGGTTTTTTGGTTTTTTGGTTTTTGTCTGCTTATGTTTGATGGCCCACACAGTATAACTCCTCTAAAAAATTAAATTTTCCAGAACATACTGATCTGCAGAAATGAAGTGGGGAACCCGTTTGCAGTAGGCAAATCGGAGTATGGCACAGACCAATCTGGTCTTTTTAAAAATTAGAACTGTTTAACGCCTCTAAATGAAGTAAGAGTTCTGTGTTAATTAATATATGAATGTGTCTCATACTTACTTTTTCTAGAAAACATGTGTAGAAACTCTTAAACTACCATTTTGCAAGTTTCTAATGAAAAAAAGAGAAAGCCGTGTGACCGATACACAAGTATTATTTCTTGAGTTCCCACGTTGTTATATATGCCTCATACATGTGAGTGTTTTATAAATGTGTATCTGTTTTCTAAATGCTTCTTCACATGTAAACATTTCATGTATACTTCTTTATTTAAATATTACATTTTTTATTTTTATGAGATGAACTCGTGCCTGTAGTAGTTTAAAAGCTCCAGTTCTCAACTCTCTCTGTGCATCGGAAACATTCACAGCACCTTTCAAAACTTGTACTGGGGCCCTAACTCCCACTTCTGATTCCCTGGGCTCGGGCAGGGGTCAGATGTTGCTGTCATTCCAGGGTATTGTCAGAGTGGGAGCTGCGCGGTCTACGAGCTCCACCAGGTGTTACTACAAAAGCGGTTCCCTGCTCTTGCCCTACCCCTGCTGGCCTCTTTCCAAAGGCCACCGTTTATATCTTTTTTAGCTGATTATTGGTATTTAACCACCATTTTCCTAAATAACATGCTGGTATTTATATTTCTTGATTCTTCAGTTTTAGGCATTATGTATTGATATCCCATTATGGAAGAGAAATTTAGCTTTCTTTCCTCTTTCTAGCCCCAATTCACATTTATACCTTTTACATCCTTTTATTCATACAATAAACTTATAAGTTTGAATCACTAAATATTTAGTGCTTATATTACTGTGGCTATAAAGTGCTTTTAACAGCTAAGCCATAGTAAATTTTTCCTTTCCTATGCAACTTTCTACTTTTCCTGGAGCAAATAGTTCTTTATCTTTGGTCCTGGCTTTTTTCTTCCCTGAGCCTATCACCAATTCAACCCCGAACTCCTCACCAATTATCTAAATCTTCTTCAGATTAGTCAGATGTATGAGTCTCTCCATTTTTGCTCTGTGATGAATGATCTCCCAGAGCCTCTGCCCGCGTGCCCTCTGCCTCTTCCACACAGCCCTTACCGCAGACCCTCCTCTCGTTGTCGTCCTGGGAGGTCTTCGTCTCTCTCCTGTCTTGGATCCCCGTCCTCAGTGCTGTGTCTTCCTCTTGGGTGTTTACTCTCACAGCTCATGTAGCGTCTCCTACAGTAGCTTCCTGAGAAGGTTGAATATGAGATAAAACACTTGAAATCTTACACTTCTGCAAATGTCTTTAATTTACCCTCACACTTCAATGATGGTTTTGGAATAGAGTAGATATACTTTCCCTTCAAAATTTGCAGGCATTGCTGCATTGCTTTGTAGCTTCTGGTATTTCTTAGGAAGTACAGAGCTTTCTAATTCTGGATGATTTCAGGTGACCTGTTTCCAGTCTCTAGAAGCTTCTAAGATCTTCTCTTTGTTCCTGTTGTTTTTGTTTTTGTTTTCTTGTTGTTGTTGTTGTTGTTGTTGTTGTTTTTCATGGAAGACTAGGCAGATTTTTTAAAAATTGAATTTATTGGAGTGACATTGATTAAGGTCTTCTGTGTTTTTGAACTTCTTAACAGCATGTCTCAGTCTAGGATTACTTTTAACCATGGTGCTTGGCGTGTACTTGAGTCCTTTCAGTCTGGAGACTGTGCCCATTTTCTTGAGTTGTTCCATGGATTTCCTCTCTTCTGTTTTCTCTGTACTATCTTTTGGCAGCTTTTGTCATTCATATTTTAGACCCTCTGTTCCAGCCCTCTGATTTTCTTGCTCTTTATTTTCCATCTTTTGGTCTTTTTGCTCTTTAGAAAATTCCTTTGCCTTTATCTTCTAATCCTCTTGTTGAGATTTTTAATTTGTTCTTTAGATGTTTCTTTCATAAAAATATAGAGGCATAGAAAACACATATTCATATACATGTATAATTATCTTGGTTTTTATCCTGGTTGAAATATACGGGCATCTATCCAGAAGGTATCCAGCCATATAATATGAAAAATAATATTGAAGAAGATACAAGATACAAGAAACATTGTACATAGGACAGTGACACCTCAGTCCCCTTCAAAGTCGGCACCTTAACCCCTCATGCAGTTTTCCCATTTGCCATCAGCTGCCCTGTCGTATTTTCCTGATTTTCATTGACTGTCCAAATCTTTTCCCTTTCAAGGGTGCTTTTATTTATTTATTTATTTACTTATTTTCAGAGGGAGGAGAAGGGAGGGAGAAAGAGAGGAAGAGAAACATCTCTGTGTGAGAGAAACATGGTTTGATTAACTCTTGTTCATCCCCAACTGAGGACCCAGCCCACAACCCAGGCGTGTGCCCTGACAGGGAATTGAACCACAGTGCTCCATCCAATGAGCTACATCAACAAGGCTCAAAGGTTATTTAGTTGTAGGAAAGACCAGAAGCCATAGGGTGCCAAAGCTAGGCTGTAGGAGGGCTGAGTCACCTGGGTGATTTGATGTTTTGCCAAAAAAACTCTGCACGAGACATGATACATGAGCAGGCATGTTGTCATGATGAAGCTGCCAATCACCAGCTGCCCATAACCATGGCCTTCTGAATCATCTGAATAGTTTCCGTGGAGGAATGTTCAAGCTTAATGCAATATTTGATGCAGATTCATTGTTCTACTTGCTTAGTCATTTTGAATTCAACTGCCACACAATATACATGCTCACTCAACAGCATCTACCACCCCCACTGACTAGTACAGTGAAGGCATCATTGCTCACGCATGCGCATTCCAGTCTACTCTCCTTGGCTGCCAGCTTACATCAGTGTCACACAAACCCTTCTCGTTATATTAACAACAGCTGGACTTTTTCCAGACAGACTTCGTATTCTCCTACCTTTGAGAATATCAATGATTATTTTTAAAAGTTCTCCCTGCTAGCTATTTCCTTCATGTTGATGCATTTCTGCTTGTTTTTGCCTGCCTACGTCCTATTAGAGACCCTCCTCAGAGTATTTAATTTTTGCCTATCTGCTCAGATCCAAGAGTGGAAGCTAGCGAGCAACGTGGTCAGAATCTCTGAGGTTGCGGATAGGCTTTTTACGCTGAGCAGCTCGGTGTGACGGCCTG